GTGTAGCCCTATGACTTCTCCATTGTGCGATGCAGGCCTTCATAAAGGAGACACAAATTTGAAAGCGATTTAAGTGATTTGAGACATTCAGATATGTGTGGTGCATGTGTGCCCTCAAACATAAGAATCAGTATTGCTGAAAGCCAACGTTTGGACCGTAGGTTGTCTTCACCCAGTCTCTGTGTCTGTGTGAGCAGGTCATTTGTTTGGGTTGATCCTGCACTGAGGCTCGACTCTCCTTCTGCTAACCTCTCTGACTCATAGTTTTCTTCTTGTTTTTTTAACCTCTTTCTGTGTCTGCTTCTATTCTTTTGTCCCTGCTCTGCTCCCTCTCCCCCTCTTTTTCCATGCCAAGAAAAAGAAGATTTTAATATTCATACTATACATTAAAATAGTAACTTTTCCAGTGAGATGCCCCACGGCTCAGTCTCTGGCCCTTTGCTATTCTCTATTTATAATTTCTGCATTCTTCTATTTTTGTGCACATGATTTCCAGTTCTATTTCTTAAATAACTCATGAGCTGTTACTTACATTTAATTAAGCTAATTTGAATCTAAGTGTTAATATCTGACAACTTTTCATAGCTGTTAATAATTATTATAGGGTCCTTACATTATAAAGCTCCTTGAGGGGACTGTGACTTGGTCCCATTTAAATTAATTAAATCTTGTAAGAGGATCCACATAATGGGAATTAATATCCCTAGACTGTAGGTGTTCATTTAATTTTCAAATGTATCCCTTACACACCTGAACACTCCTAAAATCTCTAGCAGAGTTGTTTAGGGACCATGACTGTAGATCAGGCAGGGTTACTTGATTTTATCACTGTATAGAAGAGACCTTTCTGTACTTGTCATCATTTTGTGGGTAAGCATTGTATTATTACCTTAGTAGTTTTGGGTGTTTGTTTGTTTTTTTACCTCCGACTGTAGGATTTTGTAAAGCACTTCTTCGTTTGTCTGAAACGACTGATTTCTCGGGCACCCTCACCCCAGCCTGAGGCGTTCTGGTAACCTGTTGTTTGAACTTACACAGAAGACATCTAATAGAGACTGATAGATTTTAACTCATTCCCAGGCCACAATGGCCCTTCCCTCTGCAGGTGGTCCCCCTTTTGTCTTCACTGTGGCAGTAGGCTGAGCCAGCAGATCAAAGAGCCCACAAAAAGTGTGACCGTTTCTCTGTGTGTGGATGTGTGTGCCCCTGTGTATGAGTGTGTTTGTGCACATCTCCCATCATCTTTCACATTCCAGGAATTCTTTGTGTCCCAACTGTCATCCTGGGCACAGAGGAGATCCAATCAGAAGGACAGACGCTGCTGTCTTTCTGATCATACAGTCACCTTTACTTTGTGCAGGCGCACATGCAGAAACGTTGCTGTCCCTCTGTTATGTAACACCCATGTTGTCTCCATTACACTGTAAACCAGTTGGTCAACATACATATTTCAGCTTTAAGTTATTTTATTCCCTTCTGAATTTTTCGCTCCACTTCCCTTTATTTTTTTTAGTTGCCATCACATATGACGCTCAAATGTCCTAAAGGAGCATAGCAACCAAATTATTCTCGCTAAGTTTTACTTTTAGCCGTGGAGCTGACTTTTAGTGTTGTCACTGATTCTTGTCTGTGGTTTTCTTGGCCACTCATAAGCTGATGACAGTGTTAGTTTTTAGTGTGTGAGCAGCCTTTCTTGGACACTCTTTCAAATAGAAAGGCCTAGAAATATAAACTGAAAATACATACACAGGAAAAGTGGAAGAGGAGTGAGGGCGGGATGGGAAAACAGCTTCTCAACACAGGCTTCATTTACTGCTTGGCTGGTTGGTGCAGCGTCTGCACATGTTCGGGAGTCTGAAAGTGTGTGAGGTACACCTATACCTGAAAACAGGTCCTCTCTGTTGACAGCTGTGCAGCCCACCCACCCAGCTACAGTCTTTAGGGTTGGTTAAGACGAGGCGTCAGTCAAACTTACTGGGGTAAAATATACAGCAACACAAACACACAAATTTAAAAGAACAAAAAAACAAATAAATTCTTTGTGAGTTGCATAATTTTGTGCTTGTAAAATGCCTCGAGATAAGTGTCCAAGAATGTTGTATGAACAGTTTCAAAAATGACGTGTAATCTTCCTTTAAAAAAGGTTACAGTCTGCAGTGCCTCGTAAATGAGTTCTTTTGTTGTTCTAACCCTGAGAACCAAAACCTCTTTCGCTCTAATTGGCAAAGTACTTGTACATTCAAGCACACAAAACCAAGAGCGCATGCAGACACACACTTCGGGCTTATGAACACACACACAAAGAGCAAAAGTGACACCAAATTCCAATTTTTTATCTACTACATTTTAGTAGTAGATAAAAGAAAGAGCGCAACTTGCTAGTTGTGGTCTTGCTTCCTAAGTGTTTTGTGCGCATTATCACAGCTCCCATTAGCTCAGCTCAAGTGCTTCTTGATCACTATTCATGCTGTGATTGTGTCATTTGGACGGCGTTGCATTAGTGCACAATGTGGCAAAAGTTCAGTCAGTGGTTAATGTTGCTGTAACAGATCACAACACATTAACCTCACACCAATACGTAATGTGTCGCCAACTGCTGCTCATAGGAGATCTCCTGCCTGCTGGTCTTGTCTCTGACAGAACATTCACCTTACAAAAAACGTGCCTTAAGGCCACTGCTGTGTCAATTTGGTGCTGTATAAATAAAATGTAACTAAAAGGCACAAAATGGCACTATATCAAGTATTATTTTTCTTTTGGATTTTATTTTTATCTTGCAGTAATTTTGATGGATTGTGTTGTGACATCTAAGCCAGTTAAATATCCTGGGCTTCTCTAAACTCTAGCCAATTTACTGTTTTTGACCACAAGGTGGTGGCAGAGTGCTAGCATGTGTGAACGAAGCACAGTATGATTTTAACTGCAGTGTCTTAATGTGTGGTCAATATAGTGTTTCATTGATTTTATTGATTATGAATATACTGATATTAGAAATGAGACCATGTGCCCATGTGTCATAGTTATACTTGTACAGCTTGTTTATCTTAACACATTTATGTACATAAATCTACATCACTGTTTTCTGATTATTAATCAAAAGCAGGACACATTTTAGATTCAAATTGGCATCTTACGTCATCTAAAGAAATTCTGTAACTAAAACTGTTATATCAAAATATCCACACAGACGCATGCCTCTGTGATTTTCCTTTGTCTTTCCAGGAGACGCTTAAATGGAATTTTTTTTGTAAATAAATTCCTAGTTTCATCCATGGGATTGGCTGTGACAGTAAACCAATTAGCATTTATTGTTGTAGCAGTTGCTAGGTAGAGCAGGAAGTGAGAGAGAGGTGAAGGGTGAAGGGGTTACTCCTCCTGGAATCCAGGGGCCCTAAATGGGGTCAGCATGTATAGAAAAAGGGTCTGTAAATACTCATAAGAATGTGGAGCAGTTCACCACGTTCGCTGTCAATGGAAAATTGTATTTAGTAGTCAGTATAATCTTTTAGTGATATAAGTTTGCATATGGTAGAGTACTGCTTGTAGTTATTTGTATTAGGAAATATTCAACCATGTATACTTAGAGGCATATAATCAATTGTGTAGGGATAGGTTGTGTGATCTTTAACAGGCTGCAAAGGCTTGGTGTGTATTCCACACTAGGATGCACCCCCACATCCTGGGAGCACGAGAAAGGTCGTACTTTCTCTTATTGTTTTATGGTAGGATTAACGTAGCTATGTCTGTTTTAGTTTAAGTGCTTCTTTACATATAGATGAACTGCTGGACTTCCTCACCATGTTATTTAGGGTGAGGGGGAGACTACCCTTTCCCGACCAAGGATGTACCTTTCATGACCCTTTGATCAGCAGTAACACACACACACACACACACACACACACACACACACACACACACACGTTCAATGGAGTATAAAATAAAGACCAGGGCAGTTCCTCACCAGAGTCTCTCAGTAGGGAGCTGCCCTTGCTAGCAAGAACTCTGTGTTTCTCTTCTCTGAGTCTTTACTGAAGAAGTGTTTTAGAATATTGTCCTTAACATTCGCCTTCGCACATTAGAGCTCAACTTTCTTTCTGTTACTTTTTGACAACATAAAGCCCGACTGGGGTCATGTTTGCAAATAAGCACTTTTTTTTCATTTACTGTTTGAATGTGGCCAAAAGGCTCCATTTGGCATCAGCTCATTGACTCATATTTCTGATGCAGTTGCAACACTTACGTTCTTATTTCAACCACTAAGAGATAATAGTGGTTGTAATAATTTATCAGAAATTATGACAATTTCTGATAAATTTGCAGATTTGTACAAGTCCTATTTTACAAGCTAGAAACCCTTATCCAAATCTACAAACCAAGAGTTCAGGTGCTAGTTAATTTCAGGCTAGTTTAGGCATTGTTATTACATTGTTATTACATACATGTCAGTAAAAGTCTCATTCACATGATGGAGCCCTACTCAGAAAACTGTCAGATTTAACACTCTCTGTGAAACTGGATTAAGGAAATAAGTGTTTAAAGTTCAAGTTTTTAGAGCAGGTTCAGCAACACCTTGTGCCATTACACACTATTCAGGCCCCATCTTATCTTAATGAGTAACATAAATAACATAGAGCTGGATCAGGTGACCCCAAATCCTCCCTTAGTTATGCTGGTGTAGGCTGCTGGGGGGTTCCCATGATGCATTGAGTGTTTCTTCTTTAGTCACCTTTCTCACTCACTATGTGTTCATAGACCTCTCTGCACTGAATCATACTTGTTATTAATCTCTGTCTCTCTTCCACAGCATGTCTTTTTCCTGTCTTCCTTCTACCACTCCAAACGATCACAGCAGATGGCCCCGCCCCTCCCTGAGCCTGGTTCTGCTGGAGGTTTCTTCCTGTTAAAAGGGAGTTTTTCCTTCCCGCTGTCATCAAAGTGCTGCTCATAGGGGGTCATATGATTGTTGAGTTCTTCTCTGTATGTATTATTGTAGGGTCTACCTTACAATACAAATACTGTTGTTGTGATTTGGCGCTGTGTAAATAAAGTTGAATTGCAGAACATGAAATCACTGGGTTAGGTAGTTGGTTGGATTCTGCTAACAGGCTTAGCAGACTTAGCATAGACATGAGTTTAAGTTAACATATAAGTGGAAAACAAGGAAACAGACGAAAGAAGTGATAATATTAATAAAAGCAGTACTTTCAACTATGAGTTCAAATGAAGTATTCTGCTCTTTACTACACAATCCATTGAACAATACTGTAATTCTTGGGCGTTTCTTTTTTCCCCCTTGGGTGGTCTTTTTGCTGTGACCAGCCAGACATCCAACCAGTAGGAGAATAGCTAAGAAAAAATCGATTTGATTGACAGTTTCTGGTTGCCATTTTTCATTTTAATTAGTTCAACTACATAAGAAAGTCTACGATTGATGTAGCTACAGTAAAAGCTACTTGTTGATAGCCACTGATACTTGGATAAAACACTGAATAACAGAATTAGGTTCTTGTTCAACTCCGTAAGTAAATCACACAACACATGGCTGAGACTTGAGTTTTTTTGAGTTACATTTGTTTGCTGTAGTAACTGGTTGGCAAATGGTTTCTTTATCCTCAATAAAAATGTGACTGAAATATACAGAATCAAATGTTTTTTTAGCTCAAATAAATAATCACTTCCATTCTAAAAAAAAAAACAGCAAACAGTACAAGTAAACTCAAACCTAAACAAACATCACAATCCAGTCATTACCACCAATCCAGCCTTTGTCCTGGACCTCACCAAACATTTACAGAGACACAACACAAGAGAACAGTCATGCCTTTGTCATCAGCAACGTGGGGCCCCTGTCCTCGCTCTGTGATCAGTGAGCGGCAGCAGAGTGAAGTCCAAACCTTTTATCGTGCAATTAAGAAACAATCATCATAATTTTGCGTCAGGGAGCAAATGAGCGCTTGCTATTAAAGGTGAAGCCATTTTCCTGCTTTTACCTAACAAGCTTTTAAGGAATGTTATGACTGGTCAACAGCACCATTCTCTGGCAATGGTGATGGAAATTTGAGCTTTTCTAGTTATAGACACATACATGAGAGCACAAGTCAAAAACTAAGAATGAGATGTAACTACAATCAAAAACATTAGTATTACACGAATAACTCATTGTTTTTGAATAAGAATTACACATTCAGTCTTCTCACATGTTATCTAATGTCACATAATATGAATATTTGATCATTTTCTTACTTTTTTATTCAATTTCTATGTTACAGTGGAATGTATGAAATGTATGTAGAAAGTGACCGAAAAACTATGTGCCAAAGGACACACTGAAGCAAAGCTTTCCCTCTGTGCTCTTAAAAGAAACCTCCCTTCTAATGCCTCTGCAATGTTTTCCCTCTTGATTCACTGTAGTTTCATTTAGTATGATGATCAACAAAATCGGGGCCAGCGTAGCACCAGATATGGTCGGGCTAAGTTGTAAGAGAGTCTCTTTAAAATAGCGGTGAAATGTGAAATTTTGAAAAAATGAATTCTTAACCAAATAAAATAGTTATTAATGTTAGCGTGTTGGAGTACAACTTGCATCCTAAACAGTATTAAAGCTTTCTTGGGATGTTCTCCCCCCCTCTATGAGCTGCTAGTGGTTTGGTCCACCCCAAAGCAGCACAGACAAAAATAGTTTCAAACTTGATAGCGATGGTGAGGACTTAGATAACCACTGATCATGCTCCAAGACAGAACAGGGAACTATTATGATGTGTAAAGTAACTAAGTAAAAAGTTCTTCTTATGCCTGTATAGCTGCTGATATATCATAAAAATGTTTTTATATAATATATAATAATAGTAGGCTATCCCAAAATAGTGAAAAACAGAGACTGATTCAGCTGCAGCTCCAACTCTAAATAAATAGATATATTTATGTCAGTGAGAATGTAGAGCAAGCTGAGCCTTAAAAGGCATCCTTCAAAGCTTTACTAGAGGTGTTTTTGTAGGTTTGCACAAACATAAATCTGGCAACAACAATGCAATATTTCTGTGGGTGATATTTATGGAGTCTGTGGGGTCCAAAGGCTTCGCCACTGCTCTGGACTCTACACCACCCAACTAATGACAAAACATGTTACGGTTACATCCACTAACCAGTTTCAGCTATCTAAATAGTTTTGTTTTGTAAAATGTCTCAATAATTAAAGAGAAAACATTATTAATAACATTATGAACTTGACAGATAATTGAGGTTCACATTAGAAAAGCCTGCATGTCAGCCGGTCTTCATGGTGCACTTTCATGCTACTTTAGGAAGGCATGTCTTCATAAGCAAATGATAAGAATGAAGTTTCTGAGTCCCTCTGAAAGCAGTCTGGTTGCTCCACTTGTCCACAGTATGATGTATCCTAACCTCAGTCTGATGATGGAGACCTGAACACCTGAGCGCTTACACAGACATGCAGCGCAGTATGTAGTTATATTTCATTAAAGGCATGTCAAACACTTCCTTACTGATACATGTACTTTTTAATTTGTCACACACATGCGGCCATGGGGATGATATTTGCGTGTAGACCACATGGTTGTGCCCCACTCCCACTGTGTTTCTGCTTTATAACAGTCAGTGTGCGTCATGACTTTTAGACCACATGTGTGATCACAGAAATGGCAGTAGATGCACGGAAGGAGGTGGAGGATTGAGGCCTTGTTAACGAACGCTCTAATCTTCTTGTCTGCGAGGCAACGGGAGAGAAAAATCAAGTCAAGTCAGCTGTGGTGTAGAGTCCCCCCTCCAAAGTAGGGGGAGTCAATAATTACACAGAGAAAAAGGAGGGTGGGGGTGTGCAGAGAGGAGATGTCAGGGGGGGTGGAAACAGGGCAGGAGAGAGAGGTCATAACGAAGAGGAAAAGAGACAAGAGAGGCAGCAGGAGACAAACGGCTTGTTTTTTCACTTTTTGTTTCGTCCCTCTGGATCACCTGGATTACTTCTGCTCTCTGCAGAAAGTAACTTCTCATAATTGGACCCTCAGCATCTTCCTTGCCTATATGTTTGCATGTGTGCAATATCTGTGCTCATACAGATCAGAGAGCATCCACCTGAGAGAGACGCAGGCAGATGATGGAACCTGCACACCTCTCCCTTGCACTCTTCTTCCTCGTCTTCTCTCCTGTGAGTGGCCAGTGGTGGAGTTTGTTCTGGGGAAATCCTAAAACCACCACCATTCCTCCTTCAGTTACCTCTCCGACCGTGACGTATCCAAGATTTTCTGACACCCCGGGCACAACACCAGTGTGGTCAGTAAAAGTGGACGAGGTGCTGGTGAATGCTGTGGAGGGTGTTCACACAGAAGGGTCTGTTTTGACCCCCACTCAGCCCAGCTCAGGAGTGTCACCGTCTGGTTTCACTACTGCAGATCACTGGACATTTCCTACAGGGAAGACTGCAGGTGGAGACAGTAAAAGTGGGTCTTCGGACAAACCCCTGAAACACTGGAGAAATGGTGAGTTTAGCGGGTGTTCTAACTTCTGGGAGGCTCCATTGTGCTCCATACATTTGGGACTAGCCATTAGAGAAATCTGATTTGGTTAGTGGTCAGACTAAAGATCCAGAGCTGCTTGGCTTGTTTTTAAATAAGTTGACTTATTTCAGGCAGTGGCTCATTCACGAACTGGCAGGTTGGTGCTTTGATCCCCAGCTCCTCTGATCTTCAGTATACTTGATATTGAACTTGTAATTGCCTCAGATGGATCTATTGGTGTGTGTGTGATTATTAAACTACACAAAATGAAACACAGAAAGACTGTGAAAAATGTTTCAGTGTTACTTGTGCTGTAGCATTAATAGTGGTCAGTAAATGCTACATGTGGCAATATTTCATAAAAAAGCAAAGATCTCATTTATCATCTCTTAGACTGGAAACGAATTGAAACCAAAAATGTTACGTGATATATCCCTGTAAAGGCTGGTTTATTTGTAAAACAGAAATTAAAATGTCTTTAAAGTTTTGCTGTGACAGTCATTAGCTTTGGTTTGGTTTTTGCTAACAATGAAGTGTGTAAAAGACGGGATTTAACCAATGAGCAAAGCTGGGTGATCAATATATCCTCCAGTTAACTGTTTGTACTGTTATATATTACTACATACGTGACTAGTATCCAGTGTTGGGTAAGTTACTTTAAAATAGTAACTTAGTTACATTACTAGTTAC